AGCCCCTGCATTCTACCCGGCTGCAAGGCTACGTGTAGCCTTAGGGCTTAGAAGCCAGCAGCAAGCTGATAGAATAAAAATAACGACGCCGGCGCTTTCGCCTATTCAACAACAAGCACATTTTTTCAATGTATTACTGGCAAATGTTTTTTTCAAACTGCGGTAAAGGATGTACATGGAAACGCTGCCAGGCCATATGTGCGCATTACAATCGTTAAGTGTCGTACAGACTCTGCAGGCCTAGAGATTGGCATGTCCGACGCCCGACTGAAATAATCTGCGGCCTATTTGGAATTAAAATTGAGGGGCGTTCCGGGCAGGTCTCCTAAAAATCCTACTGAAGTGAACGGACGGGTTTCCTGTGAGTTCTTAACTGAGATTCTTACTCGGATGAGTCAAAACGCTGTTGAAAATATCACAGTCGAGTGTCGATGCCTTAAATTTCGCTCGGTCGCCGCGACAGGAAAAGGACTGCCTGATTGTTCGAAATGATCATTTTTGGCGTGCCCCTATGTCTGACTAGGCTGATAGATGGGACTATTTTGTCAGACCACTTCCAGCTTGCAGCTTTCACGTACACGTGATAACAGCCCAAGGCAATAGAACGTCAGGTCAGTGCGGTCGTCGGTGTAATAGGTTAAATGTAGGTAGCGCAAGAGCGTCCTGTAAATGTGCACTGGTAAAAATGCGGACTTCATAGGAACGGTAGAAAAATAAAGGTTTTTGAGGATAACAAGATGAGGCAGCGGGAAACTTTTTTCTACTAAGGGGTGGTCCGAAATTATTTGCACTCTAATAACATATTCACAGTTTTTAAGGTAATATATATTTCACAAGCTACTTTATAGGAAAATTTTCTTTGACCTTTAGGACAGCTTCTATCCTACTTGGCATCGCATGAATTATATTTTCGGGGGTCTCCAATGGGATCTTTCCATGGCGTCCAGCAGGGATCTCTCCAATCCAGCAGGCAGTTTCTCGTCATATTACCAAGAATTGACCATACATTCTCAATTGGATTCAAGTCAGGACTATTTGTTGGTCACATGGCTTTCCTCCAAAAATGTGGAGCTTTCTCTGACAGCAACCTCTGGGCCTGCAGAGCTGTGGCTTCGACTTGCGTAAAAACAATCCTTGACATGTCCAGAAAAAGTTTATTCTCAAATGTTGACCTGCTCACGTGATTGTTTCCAATATTTTAAACAGGTTTTGTTTTTTGATCTCCTCTCTATAATATTCACTATTCAATTGGTGACCCAGTCGTATACTGTGGAGGTCACAGAGCCCTCCAAAGGACACTGCTCCCCACACCGTGACTGTAGGGTTAAAACTTGGAACTTCAAAATTCTCAGTCATGGTGCGACTTGGAGGCCATATTACGTCAGTTTTGCGTTTGGTGGACGGAACAGTTAATACGAAGATTTGTCGAAGAAGACGACTTGTTTCCAGTCGTCTACAGTCCACCTCCTGACCATTTTACAGAAGTTCATCCTTTCTTTGATTTTTTTCTGTTAGTCTGGGGATTTCCCTTCTGTAATAAGCAGTAACCTGCAAACTTTCATGCAAATACCGGTGCACACTGGACTTATAACCCTTCAAGCCTTTAGTATTCAGCTTCTTCGCGAGTTTCCTTGTGCTCTACCTTGGCTTACCAATGGCATACATAAAACGTATTGCTCAATATTTAATTTTGAAGAAATTATCTAACTTTCAAAAGGTGCAAATAGTTTTGCGACACCAAACCTTACGGTAGCAACACGTGGTAGTTGAACCCGACAGTATGACTCACAGCATGCATATTGCAACAAGGTGGCAAATTAAACGTACGGCGTATGGATGGTATTGCAAATGCTTAGTTGGTCCAGATGGACGCGAAAGTTCATGCGATGCTCTGATACACACACAAGACAACCGACACCTCGTTGTCGAAATCAATTGCTTTGGCTACCCCGAAGCAAAGGCTAGGCCTAGTCAGTTAACAGTAAGAACCCGTGGGCAGGGGTAGACAGTGACGATAAAGTGCTGATGTCCAGTTTC